CAGGAGGGCACAGCCAGGGGACAGGGACAGGACAAGGGGAAATGGCCTCAGGCTGGGCCAGGGCAGGCTCAGGGTGGCTGTTAAGGAAAACTCCTTCCTTTAAGCCATGTCCAGCCTTGGCTCAGGCTGAGCAGGGCAGGGTGCAGTCCCCATCCCTGCAGGGATTTAAAAGCAGAGTTCCCCATCCCTGCAGGGATTTAAAAGCAGTGTGGATGCCCTGGCACTGTGCAGGATGGGTTAGTGGTGGCCTTGGCAGTGCTGGGGCAGTGCCTGGACTCGATGATCTGAGGCTGCTTTTCCAATCTCAGTGGCTGTATCCAGAGGAGGGCTGTTTCTGTTCCGAGTATCTTGACTCCTGGCGTAGTTCTGTGCTTTTGTAAACTGCTGATGTGCTGCCTGGGGAGTTTCCTGGTGGGAGTTTGTGGTTAGGTCTGTCCTGCAGTGAGGTGTAAGCCAGAACTGTCAGAGTGCTTTTGGAGAGGCTGGATGGCCACTGGGTGACAGCCTGCAGAATGGTCGTGTGACATGTAGGGGGACACAGTATGGGTAAATGAAGGTAATGTAGAATGTAATTATCCCCCAATGAGTTGCAACTGGATTATTGCAAAAGATTAGGATGATAACAGGCAGCACCTGTAGCAAATAAGAGCTAGTGGTATAAAAGAGTGGATTGGTGGGAAGAGAAGTCAGATGGCTGCTGCACGGACCAAGAACAGTCAGTCCTAGAGGAGGTATGAAACTGAGGATATGAAATCCTTGCACCATAATGGTAATAGAAGTGTTGTGATGTATAAGACAGCAGTGACACCGTGCAGGGGTTCCAAACCTGTCCCTTTCCTGTAGAGCAGCTGCAGCCCTGGCTGGCAGGAGGGCTCCATGCAGGGTGTCCAAGGTAATAATCAATACCATCCTTTCCTTGCTGCTGTTCAATTACACTGGTTATTTTCGTTTTCTTGTTGAATTAAAGCCTTTCAGCTTTTCACTACTGTAATTGCCAAGGCCAACGTGTCAGTTTAATTAAAACATGAAGTAGAGCTGTTTCTTTGCTTTGTTGGATTTCTTTTGCCTTTGCCTGTAGTGGACCTGACATTGTTTATTGTGTTACATTCTGGATTAGCCTCAGATGCTAGAGAGCCCTTTTTGTTCAATTTCTGTTGGTAAATCTGCTGCTTTTAGTTTCCCCACAGGTCACAGAGAAGCTGAGCAGCTCATGGCCCAGCTGCTGGCTCTGGGGGTCTGTAATCTCTAGTCCCAGCCATTTCCCAGGTGGTTGGACAGAGCTTTCACCTTTTTCTGGCTTAAACTGGGTAACACATTCATGCTGCTCTGAACCAGGTCTGGGGCTTCTTGTGAGAGTGGAGCCTGGTGTGCTGCCTCTCCCCAGCTCTTTTTCAATGTGCAAGTCCATTCTGTACTGACGCCCTAGTTATTGTGATCTTCTCGCCACTTTTTATACCTTTTATCCCTAGATTGTAAATCATCACTGTGACTTGTGATTTAGGCTGGTTTTTTTTAATGGACAGATCATGTGAACTGCAGAATGTCTCTCCAAAGGTCTGTGCTCTTTCAGCAACAGATACACAGATGTTTGAGAGCTATAGAAAAAAAAATGCGTTGGACAATGGAATAACTTTCCAAAGGGAAATTTAACTCCCAGGCTTTTTCCCCCTTGGAGCTATTGTGCCACTTCACCCATACTCCTTTAAGTATTTAATATTCTCGCTGAGTTTCCTTGCCTTTGGGTTATGTGGACTCAGAGCTGTTTGCTCTTCTGCAGTGCTGTGCTGCAGAAATTGGGCTAAGCAGGGCTCAGATCACTTCCTCCCTCAGGGTGTAGAAGCTGCCTGCTCTGGGACAAACACCAGAGTGATAAATTATCCCCGTGCTTTCACGAGGGCTCAGGATTCTGCCTTGCCGAGCAGGGGAAGGGATGTGCAGAAGGGATTTGGCAGGCAGCAGGAGTCTGCTGTTGCCTTTCAGCTGTCTGTCTGCATTTTCTCCTTTTGCTCTTCTCCCCAGGCTGTTGAATCTCCTGAGGAACAGAATTGCCATGGGTGATGTCAGCTGGGTTTGGTGTCCTGAGTCATATCTGGAGCTCTGGGATATTGCCTATGAGTCATGGAAATCATTCACGTTTGGGCAGCTGGGCCACAAGTGGGAGATGTGGCAGGTCCACGGCCCCAGCTGCATCACTGGGGCAGAATTTCAGCAGTTGCTGGTACCTGAGGATTTCTCAATGCAGTAAAGCTGGATGCCTTTGAGCAGAGGGCCTTTAGCTGTTGGACTCCATCACTTATTTAGGTGTTGCTGTGAGCAGGCAGCAGGTGGGATGAAGAGGGAGAATCCAAAGAGATGCCCTGGGTGTCAGTGCTGTCACCTTGTCCTTGCACTGCTTGCACACCTCAGCTTTCCCCTTGTTCCTCTCTGCTTTTATGGAGTTTCAGGTGTCATCACCTTTCAGAGGATTCCTTCACAAAGTTGTATCTGCGTTATTGAGACATTTCTGCTGCCTTGGGCTTCTTTAACCTTCCCTGAAGCTAAAGCCTTTTGCCATTCAGCTTTAGTAATTGCGCTGGGTGATCTTACGCAGTTGTCATCCCCAAGATATTTGTTATTCTAAAATTTGAAGGAATAAATCTTCTATCCTTAATTACTTTTATTCCTTCAGCTTTCTTTAATGGTGAAACATAACAGGCCTGGCCTGTTGGTATCAGTGTGTTTATATACACATATAT